CAGTTGTTTTAAACTGAGAGTAATTAATAAATATACACACGATTTTATATTTACTCACATATGTACCTACATACAATTTCATATTCAATTTTATATTTATATACAGTTATGTATAGATGTGCACAATTCTATGTACGATTTTATGAAACTTTTAAATATTTATGCATTTAGATTTATAAGTTAATATGTACGAAGAAAAAGTAGAGTTATTTCTTTATCTTTTATAATATAATATCAGAATTAGAGTAAACTTACTCGTAGATGACAAGTATAAATTCTTGAACAATAAATATCATTATTTTTGTATTTGTAATAGACTTTTTCAATTTTGTGATCACATTTCTGCCTCTGAGTACTAAAAGGTCCCAAGCTAGTTTATACGCTAATGAGTATATCGAAATATCCGAATAATCCGGATATTCGAATAACTCGAATAGTACTATTGGTACTATTTGCTGCACGAAGTATCCAAATACTCGAATACTATCCGTTGATCGAAGTTTATTCGTACATATATATTATATTCGAATATCCGGATATCCGAATCATACTGTTATTCGAATTTAAGCCGCAGCCCTAATTTACATCGGTGATAGACATTAATTCAACTCACTAACATCATGCGTACCGTAACATCCTATATTGGATTTTTTTTTAGTTTCGCGTTTATAATATATATTACAAAATTCTGTATATTATTAAGAGCTCTTCAAAATGAAATAAGAATAGCAAGAATAATACTTTTAGTAGAAATAAAAATATTATGTTTTATTATAGAATATATTTTTGTATACATTTATTTTATATAAATAAATTTTATATATAATAAATTTTATATATAATAAATTTTATATTTTTTTCTTTAAAGAAGACTTACGTCGCAAATATTAACTCTTCTTAGACAGACTTCAAAAACGTCTACTAGTTGGACAGACTGGGTCTGTGAGACCCACGCAATTTTAAAATCGAATATCTTTGCGAAAAAAATAAATATCTTTTCAATTTTTTTTAAATCAAAAAAGGTTTTGAACGATTCTGCGTCAATAAAAAAAAAAAAAAACAAACTGAGAAAATCTCTAGTATTTTTGAAGAGCATTTATAAGCATTAAAAAAAAATACTAATTTCTACTAGAGACACCAGTTTGAAATTTTTGGGTGAGTGACCCAGAGTGAGGAGGACCCAGTCTGTTCACGAAGGGTTAATATTGTGACGTCGTTCCGGAGTATTGCGAAGGAACATTGATCTGCAAATTCGTGGAATATATTCTATTGTACCATGTGCTTCGTGATATTGGGCTCCACGATAACATTTTCGCCTCAATATACATATCACGGCAGATTGTAGATTCCGTGAGCATAGATTTTCGCGTGCCGATACCAGATATCTGGACGAGGTCGCGGGGCAGGTCGCTCCCCCGGCGACCGGGGCACGATTCGGGTCACGTAATCCGCCGTCGTAGGCAGACGAAACTTCGCTGCCAACGTAACTGTCTGCCGCGCGCATCCGATTGTCCGGAAAAAGTAGCTACAGAGTCTCGCAGTCATCGATGTGTCATAGTCGTTCCCGCGCTCGCTCACCCGCGAAGATAGAAATGCTGGCTGCTATACAGATCGGTCGCCTGACCTCGCTATTCGGATACGAAGAGCGGACACCCGCACGCTCTGGGAATACGAAGCGCTCGTCTCGCACGTAAATACTATCTTGTCGCGGAAATTCCAGCGGGAACAGGCGAGATGGATTCGCCGAGCAAGACGAGGTAGTTGATTATGTTCCTCCGAGCGAGTCTGTTAGGTACGTTGAACGTGGTAATTTCGACGAGATCGATTCGAGAACGACAGACGAGATCGCTTATCACTTACTAACATGACGAATTTATTTTTCCTGCCAAGAATATCTCGAACTTGCTGAAAGAAGTAACATAGCATATGTGCTTATGCTTTCTAATTTAATGATATTGTACTTAATTTATATATAATTTTTGTTATTCACTTCTCGTGGAGCAAAATATTGCGAACGGCACTGCGAAAGTAGAACAAGCTTTTCTTCATCAATCAAGTGTGATTCAATTAAATATTCGGTGTGTCTTTTAACTTCTTTTAACAAATATTAGACGTCTCGGTGTAAATAAGTAATAATAATAAGTGAATATGTAATTAGCGAATTTTCTATGCATGAAGATGCTTTCATTCACAACTTCGCGCCGTGTTTGTTTCATCGCAATCACGTTTCTTGATTTTCATCTGCGTTTGAACGGAATAAGATGACGAAGTTATGTTACAGTCCGCTCTAAATAAAATCGCAAATGGAATCGAAAAGAGAGAGAGAGAGAGAGAGAGAGAGAGAGAGAGAGAGAGAGAGAGAGAGAGAGAAACAGATGTAAAAGAAAAAGGAGAATTGAAAGTACTTGTTTTTCTACGCGCGTTAAATCCTAATCCGCTTACGATTGTAATTAACGGCGGAACGAGTTTTCGTGTTAAAACTCGTCGCGCGCACTTGGACTTAATTTTGCAAATACGGAAATAAAATTCGATGAGATATATTGAATTTCACGCGGATCATGCGTGCTACAACAAGATGGATTTATTATAAAAAAAATAATTAAACGCGTCGAACAACATGCATAAATCAGCAAGTAATAAAAGTCGTCACGTCAATCTAATTAGTGAAATATTCAATTAACGCTGCGATAATTGGCACTGACATTTCTGACACAAATATTTTACGTTACTTAGTAACAACAGACAGAATAATTTAATTCGTTCACCTCGTATATTTTCGGTTATTCGTTTTTCCAATTTAATCTAATGACAATTTAATTAATGATCATTTATATGTTGTTCGACGCGTTTAGTTATTTTTTTATAATGAATCCATCCTGTTGTAGCACTCACGATCCGCGTGAAATTAAATGTATCTCATCGAATTTTACTTCCGCATTTGCAAAATTAAGTCCAAGTGCGCGCGACAAGTTTTATATATTTTGTTGCGATAACCGGACAATTTCGAAGATTTATAAAACGATCGAGAACGAAATCCACCGAATTTTTCTCGCCGTTATTACACGAAAAATTGTAAAATGTTAAATTAAAAATACGCGACACAGAGCTAAGAAAAAATTGACAGAGAATTTATCAAGGAAATTATTTCTGAAATATTATCTTTAAAACGTCTTGTATAAAAATTGCAACAATTATGTATCTTGAGATATGTAGACTGACAATTCAAAATAATAGTGTACTAAGAATAACCGTAACTAAAAGTCATCCACATTACGGTCGACAGTCTACAAGCAATTCCAACCAGAGTTCTTAAGAGGGTACTGGATACCGACTCTAGAGACCTGTAAATCGACGTTTTAATATTTCGTTTTGTGCCGTATTTACTACATCAAATCCAAAATGCTTCTACAGAAATAANTAAATTATGCTAAGAGTTTGCTGTTGTTCTTTGGAATGTCAAAATTCAGCATAAATTTTATCTTACACAGTTTTCTTTTATAACCTCACCATATATTCATGTATATAAAATTATTTCTAAGCTTATGTACGTATTTACACTGAATTACAGCAATAAGTACGACAAAAAAGAATCCAATGAGACACTCAGATTATGATTGGAATGTGTAGTTGACGAGAAAAAGCGATTCTCGTGATGACAGTATAGGTTATCACATACTATCTTTGTAAATGAAAAAAAAGAGCATTATATACTCATTTTCAAGAGCATCATGTAGTTTTTTATATTTACTTGCTTCAGTAGAAGCATTTTTCATGTGATGCAGTACACAAAATTGGAAATTAGAGAAATTTACGTTTCTAAAACGTCGATTTACAGGTCTCTATAGTCAGTATCCAGTACCCTCTTAAGGAGATCCTAAACTGAATCTGTTTTATCGAATGAATTTACAGCGTATGGCGTCAGATCGTAGTGCTAATTCTTTAATATAAAAAGTTGTGCAGTTTGTACGTAGAAAACCAACTGCGTCCCGTTTTCGGAACAACATAAAGAACAATATAGAGCTCTCAGAAATGTTTTTAGAAAGTTAGTGTAAATAAATAGTGTGCGTGAAATGATGAATAAATAGTGTGTGTATTCCAATATTGTTCTGAAAATATTCACGCACACTATTTATTCATACTAGGCTTCTAAACGCATTTCTGAGAGCTCTATATTGTTCTTTATGTTGTTCCGAAAACGGGACGCAGTTGGTTTTCTACATACAAACTGCATAACTTTTTATATTAAGCGAATATTACTACAATCTGACGCCAAAAGCTGTAAACTCAGTCGGTAAATCGACGGAGTTCGACCGTCAGTTTAGGATCCCCTTAATGGGCCAAGGTGCAAATCGAGCTGGCATTGTAAGGTTTCCGCTGTGAAAGCTCGAATGAACGTCGCCGCCATATAGAGACGAATCTCTAGGCGCGAGGCAAAAGGTCGGAGATTAGAACTTCAGAAGCCGCTAATCTATTCCCAGCGGAAACGAACATTAAAGCCTTTCCGCAGAAGAGAAAGCTTCGGCAAATAAAATAACTTTCTTTACGATCTTTTCTCTTCTTGCGGCGAATCTCAACGGGAATCGCGTACACGATTTGGCGTGGCATAGGATAGATGTCCCAATTACTGCCACTTTAAGGCTATCGCGTAACTTCATTTCATTACATTAAGAGTTGTTTAATGTAAAAATGATTCCAGTTTAGTATACAATATTGCCTAACTTCTCTTTTATTGATAACTTTTTTATGTATTAAGTATAAAAAATTAATTAATAATTAATTTAAAATGTACAATAAACTCCACTGTTTCTATTACTGTCACCTCTTAAGTACGTATAACTGCCACTAATATAACCGAATAAATGTCAGTATCATTATGTTACGTCCCGTGGACTCCACTTCCTCCTCGCGACGTGATAACAACGAGATATGATATCACGGGAACGCCGCCGCGCGGTACTGGCGCGAGACCGGATATCAGTGATCGATAGAATCAAGAAACACCGAGTTTGGAAAATTCCTGTTTTTCTTTCTTGGTTAATTTTCTTTTTTTAATCTTAGACGGAAACTTACATCCCGGGAATGTGAAATCAAGGGAAATCCAACGGATAACGAGAAATCGGGTGACCTATCGTAAAATTTCGATTGGTCCCGAGTTTTCCGAGTCACGAATATAAAAGAGCCCCGCAGGGCTCTTCGAGTCAGTAAAAGCAAAATCCTGATCAGTACGCGAGTAAACGAAGTGCCGGCGAAACAAGTGATCAAAAGAACAATTGTGTTTGCAACAAGTGTGGATCCTGTTTTCTAATTGGAGCTCACTCGAGACCGCCGCCGCCGCTCTGTTGCTGCTTGCTGCCGCCTAGTACGAGATTAACAATAAGTAGTAAGTGCTAGTATTAAGTCGCGAATATGTCACCTGTACTTCACGCCACGATCAAAGATTAAAAGTAATTACCATGACAGTTGCTCCCTTCGTTAAAATAGAGCTAACGCTGATACGGATTGGCGACGATTCGCAAGGACCGTCGAGCGATTCTCAGCGGGCGCTCTTGCGCTGTCGAAATAAAGTCCATCCGAATAAATAAACTGAGGTAGCAACTGACCTACAAACCCCCGAGCCGCGAGAAACTTATAATCGCAAATTTTAAGTGGACCCGACCGCTTGCCAAAAACGGTGGAAATCCAGGGCCACCTTCCGGGGATATCGCCGAAGGGCCGCCAAACGGGCCCGGAAACAGGCTGAGGCACCGCCGGTTACCGCCCCTTCTCCGACAATAGAAAACAAACAGAGCAATAGCAGTTCTAACAAAAACACCGACACACCACCAAATTTGCGAGCTCAGTCGCCTCCCCTGCGCTCTTCTCCACTCCGTCCTTTGCCACCATCCTCGCCCGAACCAGAATATTTAGGCGAGCGCCGACCTCTCTCGTCCACGCACCTTCCCTCGTCCTCTCCATCTCCTAGCGCTCGCCTCTACCTACAAAATTACCACCCCTATCTCCACCGCGTACGTAGTCGATCCCGAGAACCTTGATCCCCCCTCCATCGGATAATTTCCACCTACCCTCCAGATGCACTTCTCACTGTTAAATTCCCCCTCCTTCCGGAACACAGGTTAGTCCCTGTAAGAGACTTCTATAAATTCTCCCTCCCCGGCTACCTGTAAAATTACGGAAATAATTGAGGTAGAACTGGACTGAGTTCGCAGTTCACACATACTCACATCCATCCATCCATAACAGATTAAAAAATTGTAAACTATCATCTGAAACTATGTTAATTTCGTAAATAAATAACTATACAATAAAATCAAAATGACAAGCAAATATATATATTTGATTATAAATTTCGTCTAAACATTTCTAATTGACGTTTTGCCCACCATTCCGCACCTCTAAACAGATCGCACAGTCTCATCCCAGGCAATTGAGATTTGCATCTCAGGCCTTAAACAGAGACACACGAGCGAAGTCCAAAGAGCAACGGAGTAGAGCGGCACACGACCGTTGACCCGTCCGCCGGACCCGATAGATCGCTTGATTCTCGGACACACACACGACCGTTTCTCCAAGTGTACGTGTCACGAGAGATAAAGAAAATTCGTTCATGCCCGACCGTTTCCAGGGGCTAGGACGTAACAATTAAATGTGACTCAATTACAGCCGGTCCTTTTCACTGAGATTCTATAACTGTCACTTTTTTTCCAAATCAGATTATATACAAAATAAGAGTAACTATATATTACAAGAACTGAACAAAAACAAATTATCTATTGCTAATTGAGCAAATAAATAAATTTAATACAATACGACGAACACTTTTCACTCTTACTTCACATGTTGAAATTTCAAGGTTAGAGTTACAGCTTTAACAAATGACAATTACATGTACCTAATACCTTTTTTTGTCCCTATTATTGATAGCAATGATATGAACAAATCGAAGAATATTGTCCCTATTTCTGATAGCAATGATATGGACAAACCGAAGAATATTGTTCCTATTACTGTTACCGTTAATTATTATAATTTAATATCACTTATTTTATTTGTTATATCTCTAAAAGGATATTTAAACTATACTTTAACATTCATTTTATAATAAATATATAGATCAGATAAGAAAATTATCATCTTTAGTAGGTGCAACTTTTTCATCACTTCTACACGGAAAAAAAAAGTTTTGCTATTATATGGTTAGCAAGAAAAATGGTTGACTCTACGAAATTTTTTGTTTCATCAACGAAATGTTTTGTTGGCAAAACAAAACTTTTAATAAACTTAACAAATGTTTTTTTGCTGGCCATATATTAACTAATTTCTTGCTATTTTAGCAAATCTTTTTTTTCCGTGTAGTTACGCAATCGCGTTTTTGAGACTCAAATTGTATTTTTACTTATTAATATTAATCTTTTACTACTAAGCGCACACAAATATGTGTTATTATGTAAATCCAAGTCCAAATTTCATAAATAAAATTTATTATGAGTATGATTTTTTATACGCTATAGTTTTATAAGTAAAACAAATGAAAGTAACAGTTATTGGGACAGTGGTAGTAATTGGGACATCTACCCTATATGACGAGATTGATAATTTACAACAATTGCTTTATCTTGCGCAAGATGCAATCGCATCGAAAGGTTTGCAGAGATCACCTTAAAAGTGATAATTAAACGAACGCGTACCTTTATATTCTATTTATATTTACACGGAAAAAAAATGATGTTGAATCAACAGTATCAGTTTAATTGAAATATATCCTGTTGATGCAACATCAATATTATTGCACTATACACAGCAGATAGTTGCTTTAAGAATCTAGACATTAAATTAATCGCATATGCAATTGAATAAACTATTTATTTTTGTGGCAGCCCGTGACGTCAACTTTAATTGAAGCAACTTCATTTTTTTCTGTGTATAAGTGCTTTAAGCCATTACATTTCAAATTAAGAAGAAAAAATGAATAAATTTAATGGGTTTTCTGTAGATACATTTGTATCTACAGAATTCATTTGTATCTCTGAATTAATTGAAATATTTTGACGCAATTGACTTCTATAAAAATCGTCCACATTGAAGCGTCGCAACTAAAATGTAAAAACACTTTAGATGTGTGTGTGTGTGTATCTTTGTCAATATAATCGCTGCGTCCTTCGATAACGAAGGATCAAATGTCTCGGTGTGTTCACAGGTGGATCCAGACGACGCAATGACTCACGATCTAACGACCACTTTGAGAAGCGAGTTGGCGGCTCTCGAGTACAAGCGGGACAGACTAATGTCTGAGGTAAATTATCAGGTCGCTTCGGTGGTCGTATTATTAATTCAACGCTTTGCTTTTCTCTCGTTTAGCTACAAGAAATGAAGAACGTCGTGAGATCGCGAGATCAAAGAGTCGTGGAATTGCAAGTGGAAGCCGATCAGTTACGCGAACAGGCGGCCAGACAAAATGCCGTTGTCTTGAGTCTCAAGAAGCGCATTCAGGTCAATTTATTTTCTGTAACAAGCGTGCGATTAGAAAATTTGTTTTGTTTTAATAATTATCGGTAAAAGAAAGATTGACTCTAAATTCGCGATTGATTCGAAATTGAAATATTTATGAGACAGACGATATTTGTGACCTTGTGTTATTTGATTGCTATTTTAGGAACTGGAAGAAAGAGAGAGAAATTTATACGCGTCTCAGGGTAGAAATGAAATTACGATACAAGGTCTGCAACGCGACGTGAAATATCACGAGGAAAAGGTCAGGGAATACGACAAGAAAATTCGACAATTGGAGTACAATATATCCGAGGAGATTCAGTTGAAAGAGCGCGCACGTCTGAATCTGCAGGTGTCGTATGTAATGTGATTTTGAAAATGCGTGCAATTTTCACGATATTGAATTTATTTCTCGGTTAGATAAAATGTGTATTTCTCCATTTTTTTTTGTTTTTGTTAATATTGCATTTATTTGGTTTATCGTAGGATTTTGTGCGAAGATTGGCACACGCGGTAAACGTCGAATATAGCGAAACGGCGCATCACAGTCCCGAAATGGTGATTCATAAAGCCGAGGAACTTGTCCAAGAAGTGAATCGACTGCGAACGAAAAGTACAAACGTTGAGACGCAGTTGACGGGTGTTGAAGTGGACTTCAGAACCTGCAGAGACGCTCTTGATCGCGCGACCACGGAGAAAGAACAGTTGCAGAGACAGTTGTCTGTTCAGCTAGTTGACATGGATCGTCTGCGCCAGGTACAGCTCAAAATTATATTCATCGAAAAATTAAAGGAACAACTTGTTTGTAAATTTAGCGCGCGTTTAAACATGCTACTATACGAGAAAAGTTAGCAGAGATGTGGATATAATAATTATTTCCTTACTTATTTTGTGGTTTTTACGATTTATAAAGATTTATTAATTAATATAAAAAATTAAAATATATGTAAAAGGAGAAAGAATGCCTGGAAATGCAATATCGGGTCGCGGAGAAAGATATTAACGATCTAAGAGATAAGCTTGTGAATGCAAACAGAAGCTTAACCAGCGCGACAGGAAACATATCAAATCAAGAGGCGCTGATCTGCCAATTACGAGGTAAACCACTGTGATCAGATCGATTTGACCTTCGTACCTTCGTGTCTTCTGGTAATTTGTGCCGCTCTTACAGAGGACCTGAAGACTCGCGAGGAGAAAACGCAACGTGTGCACAATGAATTGCGTCACCTTCTGGAGTCCTTGGCAATTCTCGTCAGCACGCCCAGCCGATTTGTCGAGTCCCACGAGAATGCGATCAAGGATCGCATTCGGGAAATCATAGCGGACAACAAGGATCAGACGCTGGTAGTTCATGCAATTACTAAAGTCTTAGACCAAAGACATAGTACACTGTGTTTTACACATTTTCGCTTGCAAAAAATAAAAATTCTAAATTGCAAACAATAATTTTTTTAAAATAATAATGAAAGAGAATAAGATTCTTCGAGGCTCGGAAGTCTTTAAACTAATGAATGAATTAAATTCGGGTTTGTTTGAGCCGTTTTGCAGGATGTTGTGCAGAGAATGTGCTTAAATATATACAATATGCATACACATATATTTAACAAAATAATTTTTTTCCTCCATATAGGATGCTGGATTTGCATCGTATATATGAAGGATCCCGTATACCTCCCTAAATAATTTTAAAATATTGCGAAAAAAACTCCTCAGCCAGGAGTCGAACCTGGAATAATTTTTTTCCATTCAAATATTTACATTGAATTTTTACTTTGCTGTACGATAAAATTCATGAAAATATTTATAGTCTCACAGAATTTGTATGTTTTCAATTTTTTTTTTTTAATATATGGAGAATCTTATATATAATATATTAAAATATTACAATTCATGCATAACTTTATTCGAGCGCATTCTCTTTTGTGCGCAGAAAATACAAAGTCTTCGGGACAAAGTAAATTCAGCGACGGAGTCGACAAATCGGCAAAGCGAGTTAGTCGAATCTACGATGATGAAGGTGCGTAGTCTGGAGGAGGAACGCTCCGCTCTTGAGGCTAAAATACACAAGTTGGAGTCGGAACTTACGAGCAGCGAACTCTCCCGGGAGTCTTTACGCAGAGACAAGCAGACGGTAATTTTTACCATTTCTATCTCTTATGGCTAGTCTACAATGGAAGTAGGTAGTATAGAGTAAGAAGTAAGGTTCTTGGAGTTCTTTTATTTTTGTCTATACAAAGGAATTATTTCGCGTTTTTTAACACACGCCTTTCATTGGCTAACAGTAAGGCAGTAGGCAGTGCGAAATGAGAATTGCCCATTTCGTAATTCCCGTTGTTTTTTCACGGAAAAATTTAGTTTACTCTCTACTCCTACAGCTTTACTACCTTCATTGTAGACTAGCCATTAGAAATATAATAAAATATAATACCTTGATTTGCGCAGCACAAAAAAGAAGAAAAATATTAAATTAAAACATTGGACAATAATTGATTAATTTTTTTCAATGAAATAAAATATTAAATTTGAAAAAGTAAAAATTAAATAAAAAATTTTACACAAAAATACTTATTTGAGATAAAATTTGTTAAGTCTAACAAAACCTCTTTCACACTTATTTACTTATTCTGAATCTAATATCACATTGATATGTTATTGCTCGTCAAACCTGTTAGTTTCAAATTTGAATTTGTTTTTGTTTCCACAGTTCGTGACATTTCTGGACCGACTCAGCAAGGCGATGCAAATGGACGAAATCTCTCAGGAAGTCGGAATCGATCTTCAGACCGAATCGTTGTTGGTGCGAGCCGAACAACTGGCCAGATTGGAAACCGACAAACTAGTCGACAAGGTGAAGGACACGAGATATTACGTCTTTCAGACGTCGCTGTCGCATTGCTAACGTCTTTTCCTTTGTTCTGTGCTTCTTTATCGTGCAAATCATGTGCTTACCATACGCCGCAGTATTTGTACTCCAGCTATACGACCCTACCGAGGATTCAGCGCGAACGATCGTTCCAAGAGCTTCCTTGTCTCAAAGAAGTAAGCTCTCAAAAGCGCTTTAGCGAGAAAGCTCCGCAGATCTCCCAACATCCTGTTCATTAGATGTTTGTTTCGTGTTTCTATCCCTAATAGGCACTATGTGAAAATATTGCATAAATGACATCATGAATGGCGACGATTTTGCAATGATTGCACTAAGATGATTCGCCATAACGCAACAGTTTTGTCGAAGTAAAATTTTGTAAATAATATTTGTCAAAAATTGCGAAAAAGTCGTTATGCATTTCCACAGTATATACCTCCAATAGGCGAATTGTGAAAATATTGCACAAATATGACATCATGAGTGACGACAATTTCTTGCATTTCTTCATATACAATCATATTTCTACATATTTGAAACATCACATAGCTGAATTTCTTTTCTCAATTATTGGACAATTTCTTTGTGAAATTAACTTTGCAAATATACTGCTAAGATGATTTGCCATATCGTTATTCTTTTGCCGAAACAGTATTTGGAAAATAATTTTGCAAACAACTACAAATATTTTAGAAAAGATCAATGTTTTTGCATTTATTTCCTAAAATATGTCTGTATAATTGCAAATTACAATTTTAGTGCAAGATTTCGTCACATAATTTTTTAAATAGTTTCCTATCAGGGATAAAGTATCTTTAAACAGTAGACAGCTTTTCATTTCTCCGTTGTGTAGGTTTTCCCGAGTCTTCGGATGCTGATCGAGTCTTAGTTGTAACGTAATTGTTCGCTTCACATTTACAGTTTCTTAGAAGTATCATATAATAAAATTACGTTTAAAATCCTATACACTGATGCCGCTACCGCTTTTTTCTGAACGTCAATCACAGAATTGTTGTCTATATCAAAATATATATTCATTTTTAATCAAATAAATTTTTTAATATCATACAAGAAGAGAGATTTATCTTTTTTTCAAAATAATATTTTATTTTATGAAGATTAAAATTTTACATACTGTCACATATGGAGACAATTAGCAGATAGAAAATTGTTTGTACAAAAATTATTTTATTTTACGAGTTTTTCTTCATCAAAACTCACTGTCATCATACTGTCATTCAAATGCTTTGAAACGGCACTTTGTGTGTTCTGCAATATACATATGTGTATATTTATTTACACACATTAGTTTTATCTGAAAAGTGCTTTTATCGCTGAGAAAAATATGTGACGAGTGGCGAACGTCTTTTATTTGTTTCGCAGACTTCCGTGGTTTATCAGTTGCAACGTCGAGTTCGAACCTTGCGGGAGCAATTGCAGCGCAGAGACTTGCATCTGGATCTTCTACGTAGAAAACTGTCTCTGCAGGAGGACAGTGTGAGAATGAAGTCGCTTTTGCAGAGCGAGCGGGACGAGGCGAACATACGGTTTGTTTCACTATCTCGGAACGCAGCCCGAAGCATGGTTGTAACAATTTCGATCCATCAATTTTGAACGCGCTTGTTACATATATCGTGATTTGAATAATTCAGAAATTACCAGTTGCGGGGAATTTAATTTTCTATCGTGCGCAAATAAACAAACAATTTTTGCGGAAAACAATTCGGAATCTGTAGATGATGTTTGGTAAAAGCTTATTAAATTATTACGTGTACAACGTCGAAGTCGCATTACTCAGTATATACATCGCAATATTTTGGGTAATTATTTACAATAGAGGAGCCACCTCCGATTTCAATAATTTTTACATATGTTGTCAAGGTCATTGTCCCGAGTAATAATATGAAGGTTTTAGGCCGCGGACGTGGTTTGTTTAGAAGTTATGAGAGGAAGAAGTTTCATGAATAAATTCTTATTTTTCGGTTCCACGTACATTTTGTTCGTGTTTCAAGCGTGTAGGCAGGGGGGGCTGCGCCCCCCTGCACCCCCCCTAAAAACCTAACCTAACCCTAACCTAACCTAACCTAAATTCTTCTTTCTGCATTCCTTCTCGCAAAATTTCCACAATGGTTAGGACATCCTTTTTCATCCAATCAAGTCGTTATTTTCCACAAAATAACGACTTGATTTTCAAGGGGAGAGCAGGAAGAGGGGCAAAGCCACTCCCCCTGCGGGGGGGCGCAGCTCCCCCCTGCCTACACGCTTGAAATACGAACGAAATGTACGTGAGATCAAAAATAATGTCTGTTACAGACATTATTTCAAAAAAAGCGTCCAATTGTTCATCAAAATCAAACGTTTTTTTAAATGCAAATTCGGCCAAATAATGATCAAAAAGATATTCTTCACGAACATAGAGGCATTTTCCATGAAACGACCTTTCAAGATACAACTACAAAAGCGTATAAACAAACATGTGCCCAAACACACGCAGAACACCTATTCATATATAAGATGTCCAAAAATTACATATTGTTCAGTAGACTTCTTTCCTCTGTAACTTCTAAACAAACAACGACCGCGGCCTAAAACCTTCATATTATTACTCGAGACAATGACCTTGACAACATATGTAAAAATTATTGAAATCGGAGGTGGCTCCCCTATTGTAAATAATTACCATATTTTGTTTTATAATTGACCTCGGTCTTCAACATCTTGTCGAATGCGAAATGTCAGCGGTGGTAACAATGCCTATATCGACTAACTGTCCAATAATGAAGAAAATATATAGAGCTGCGGTTTATCGGAAAATTTAACCGGCTGAGAGTGCGGCTTTACCTATTTCAAAGGGACGGGGGAATGAGGTGTGGTTTTTTTTCCAACGCCGGTAGGTTACTCATAAATCTTGTGGTTCGCGATTTGCTCCAAATGCATCGGACATATTTCTGTCCGTGCGTTTTGCCGAAGGCGTCGTTTCTTTCGTTAGTAAAAAAGAAAAAAAAAGAAAAAAAGAAGGAAAGATGTGTGCGAATGACTGTTTTCCTTTTCAGCGCGAAGAAACTGGCAAAACAGGTTGACCGATTGCAGGTTCAATTGTCGGAGGAAAAGTCACGAAGTCGCGAGTTGAGCGCGCAATTGACGGAAGCCGCGGATTACAAGGTACGTGATTTCATACTTTCTCACAAATCAGATAAAAATACGCGAAATACGCGAGTACGTGCGACAATTTTTGTGATTGCGATTGTAAATAACAACAACACATCAAAATGTAAACTGCTTAAAATTTCATGTCACTTATGTCACTTCACCATTTTCGCTCAAAAATAAATTTTACACAAAGCAGTCTGAAAAAGGCGGCAAACAAGTTTCGATCGAATTCTCTTCGTAAATTGTTCGAGAAAGTCGCAACTACTTGAAGACACTTTAATTTGTTTTACGGACACTTTTGCGAACAGATAGCCGCACTGGAACGCAGCCGGAAAATTGAGGAACTTCAGAAGCGTCTGGTAGAGAGCGAGATGTTGAGAACGCGTTACAACAGAAAGTTGACGATGGCGAAGGAGCAGATGAGGACCGCCGCGGAGACGGCTGATCAGGAGAGATCGATAAACGATCATTCTCTGCAACTTCTTCGCGATGAACTCGCTCAGGTCAAGCAAAATCTCTCCGAAGTTACGAGAAGAGAATCGCAAGTGAGAATCACGTAGTATTACATTCACACAAGATATCACGCATATAATATTCAGTCTCGCACGTTTTACCGTCTATAAATGTTCGTTTTATTTCAATAAAAAATAAAACACGATAAATGAGTTTGTGTTGGAACGCATGCTTAATAAATCGGCTATTAATATCAGGGAAGTGCGCGAATTGATGTTTGCCTTATGCGTTGCAAAAAAGCGCAAATAGCACGTATGTGCATGTCTCAATACCGTATAATATAGGGGAAGTTCGGGTAGCCTCGGACATTTGAATAAAATACATACAAATATACAAATAATAAGATTTTAACGTTTATTTTTATATTTAACATTGACTTTAGCACTTTTTTAATCATTTTAATAAAAAAAATAAAAACATCTCTTAATAATTTAAAGAGTAATAATACGACTATGTTAATCTTTAATTTTTGGCAATGGAAGAAACGGTGGGTAGCCCCGGACATACTTATTAACAATGGCCTAAGCGTTCTTTGGCTTTACAAACGTCACAATAATAATAAATATTTGATTGATTCAATGTCAACGCAAGCTTCGTGAGCCCAATCTTTACATTTATGGCATTGGATCCAGTTCTTCTTCAAAAGTTTCCCCACATAATAATACATTCTGCAGCTTTACTACGATTCTGATGGGAGAAAATTAGAATTTTCACTGTAACTTATGACTTGCTCAACGCTCACGCCACAACTAAATTGCATTTGTTTCTGCGCATTGTGACACGTTTCTACATATAACTCTTTGTTTTTGTTTTGGCTCAATTGCGGAGAAATTCAAGTGTCCGGAGATACCCGCCGTCCGGGGCTACCCGAAATTCCCTTATTCGGCACGTGTATTTTGGTATTCACGTAATTCTGATTTACGATCGCTCGGGTGCAGGCGCGGTGTCACGCTTATATTATGCGAAAAAATTTCCGTAAACAAAAAACGACAACACAGCTCCGCAGAGAGATATTTTCTATGCATCACATATGTAATATTCAATTTTTTATTTTTTTCATGTTTTTTGCGAATAATACTAAAACAATCAATCAATCGCTCGTGAAAGGTTCAAAGTAATTAAAAAGGCCGATACGAGCAGTACATACAGGATGATCGTGTATAAAATAGAATTCTTTATTCGAAAAACAGACGTTTCGATCCACAAGTTTGGACCTTCTTCAGTGTAATGTGTTAAATTAAATTAAAACAAACTAATAATTCACAACAACATCACCACAATACAATACATGAGTACACAGTTTTGTATTTCACTCGATTGACATTACTTGATTGTATTGTGGTGATGTTGTGAATTATTAGTTTGTTTTAATTTAATTTAACACATTACACTGAAGAAGGTCCAAACTTGTGGATCGAAACGTCTGTTTTTCGAATAAAGAATTCTATTTTATACACGATCATCCTGTATGTACTGCTCGTATCGGCCTTTTTAATTACTTTGAATACTAAAACAAGTTTGCATACAGGGAAAAAGAAGGATATGCTAGAATTTAGTTTGGAGATTTTTGTTTTGCCAACAAAACGTTTTGTTGATGAAACAATAATTCGGTAGACTCAACCAATTTTGCTCGCTGGCCGTGTAATAGCAAAACTTTTTTTTCCGTGTATATAATAGTGAAAACCTCACATTATTCTTTTGAGAAGACATAAATCTTCGCGGAAGCGAGCGAACGAAGCATAAAGTTATCGCAATCCCTCACTCGCGTGGTCGCTAAATAAATTCAAATATACATAAGTTCACGTTATATTCTCCGGAAGTCATTTCGTCGGTTCGCCATAATCCACCAAGAGAAAGTTCAAAGCACTTTGATATCTTATTAAAGCAAACGCGCGTCTGCAGCAAGGCTTATTTCTAATACCCCCTCAGTGGTATCAAAGGGGCTCGTTTTAATTCATTGAGGCAATCTTCAATGACTCGCGATGACAGCCATTCGCGTAATTGCGATCCCTCTCGTCAGGCGCATAACGCTCGCTCGAAACGATTTCGAGTGACTTTGCAGCACCGATAATTCAAGGCGGAATGTTGTAAAGCTGATAGTTCTTTTTGATTTGAGCTCATGCCGCGGCATATATTCTTTTACGTGAAAAGACTGCAAATCACGCGTGCAATTCCGCATCGATTTATCTCTCGATATTGCTGTCACAGCAACGATGTTTTCCAAAACGTGAAACTTCGATCCAAAAGTAATAATTAATAAGTTTTACGTAAACAATATTTTTGTCAAACAAAAATTTATACATATCTTATTGTTTTTAATATTTTATTATAAATATTAAATTGTTTTTCTAGCATCTCTTTCTCTCATCACATTTCTGCTTATCCCCAGTGCAGACTACTCTAGAAACAGCTATTTATATTCGCAGAAGGTTAACACGACAGAAAAGTTAAAGCTCGAGTATGATTCAATTCGCAAATCGCTCTTTTCCTGTCTCAGCTGCAGAGCTTCCGCGTCTCCGTGGCGAAGTTATTGTCGGAGCCAATCTGCACTCCCGATTACGAGATCATTTCGCGGCTGCAGAAAATGGTCGCGGCTCATCGCGACTTTACGATGCTCTCCCGTAGATACGACGAGCCTTTGGAAACAAGCCCTTCGAGATGCACCAGGTAATGTAGTTAGATAAGATTACGCCGTCTCATATACTTTTTTCATATGTTACAATTTAAATTTTCTCCACAATCTGACTGTCATTAATCGAACGTTGTTAAGCAACCGTTTCCGTTTTCGAAAGATATAAGATTTTAAAAATTCTACGCGATTCTTGTGAAATGTGTGTAGTGAAGAAAGAAAGACCGAAATAAAGTAAATATTGACAATAACGGACCACTTTCTGATCAACTTGAGCTTCACATATGTTGTCAAGGACATTGTCCTGAGTAACATGCAAAAACTTTTAGCCGTCGCTCGTTGTTTATAAAAAAGTTATAGACAAAAAAAGTTTCATAAATAAATTTTTTTTCTCGACATTATGTATATTTTCTTTATGTTGTAAGTGTGTAGGCAGAGGAGGGCTACGCCCCCCGCAGGGGGAGGGGCTACCCTCGAGAAAAAATAAAGAATTATTTTATGCAAGGTTATATATATGTAATATTCAAAAATAAAACATCATAAACAGAAGGTAATATGTACGCAAAACATGATAAGCTCAGGGGGATGCAGGGGAGGAGCGTAGCCCCTCCCCTGCAGAGAGGCGCAGCCCCTCCGCTGCAGAGAGGCGCGCCCCCCCTGCCTACACGCTTACAACGTGAAAAAATGTCCATAATGTCGAAAAAAAATTTATTTATGAAACTTTTTTTGTTTGTAACTTTTGTATAAACAATGAGCGACGGCTAAAACCTTTTGCATGTCACTCAGGACAATGTTTTTGACAACATATGTGAAGCTTAAGTAGATCGGAAGGTGGTCTGTTATTGTCAATATTTACCCTAAATAATATCAATTTTATCGAGATTATAAGCAGCGCGTCTTATCTCTACATCAGTTGAATCTCTCTTTTGCCGCAAAAATACAGTAAATGAGGGAAATTTGTACTTTCAAGTCATACATTACGTGCGCGCCGAAGAGTACGTTATTCTCATAATACACACGTGTTCCTGGGTCGGTTACAGTATTCATCCGGTCCATCCGCCGAGATCGCCCGGTTCGCGCTGCACTCGTTACGAGGACAGCGGTTTCGCGGACCCGCCGGATCTTCATGACATCGACGACGATTACAACAAGAGACCCGTGAGGAGCAGCCTTCTTCCGTGACACCGGCCAAGATTCAAGTTCTAAGTTTCCACGTTTCCGGGGAGAGATATAGCGCAACTCGAGTTTTCGATCTTTTCTCATGCGATCAAACGATGTCGAGGGAAAACGCGCGTTTGTTCGTAAAGCGTTACGTTTATCTCGCGTAAACGAGCGACTTTTACGATATGAAGAGAATCGTTCGAGTCGTTTTCTCACATCATTTTTCGCTTGAGCGAGAATTTCGGTATAATACAGAATTTTACTGGAAACAAGTAGGAAAAGATATCGAACGGTTCATCGAACTGTGCGATAACGAAAGAATGTAGAAAGAAATCACGGAGGAAATCGTACAAATACGCGTGACATCGCAGTTTCGCGCTAATTGTTATCAAGCATGAGAAATCCCGGACGGATCTCGTGGAGATGAACGCGACACTAGACATACATCGTCCCGTCATGGACAATAATTTGTACATACGTGTTCAGGGAAAATCGCGTTACATGGCGCGGATTTTCATTACGCGCAAATAAAATAAAACTATTATATATACAATACGACGGTCCCGAAAAAACTCGCCTGGATGTGCCACTTGAAACAGGTGAGAGTTATTAATATGCATCAAGGCTGAAACTACACCGAGAAAGAATAATGAAGTGTACGGACCATGCGCAAATGACGTCACGAGAAATCTTGGTTCGCAAGAAGGCCAGTTTGTGATGAAGAAATTTGGAACAAACCAAAGACTGAGAAGTTTTATTTAATTCTGGGGCCACACACAGAATGCGGTCTTATCTTTATTTATTCCACATTTATTCCATTTATATTTATGCTTTATAAAATCTAATTTAACTGCCACTTATTTTAATTGAACAACAAAAGTGCTTATGTAAAAGTCTTTGTGCATATATTCACTTTATCGAAGAAGATTTAAGTGTTCATAAAATTTTCTATAAAAATAAAACATTTTCTCCGTACTTATTAATTAATATCATACTAATTACACGGACCGTCCTATTTACCTACACTGATCTTTCAATCATAGCTAATTTCTAAGTGTATTTATATTTTGAATTTATTTTATACGCTCCATACACTCGCGTAAGTAACAACGATTCTTTCTAACGATAAGTTATATTTGAAATACTCTTACTTGATATATTAAACGATTGAAATAATCGGCGGAGCTTCTCTGTTCTCATTTCGATAATCTTTATTTCGATCTCGATATTATATCATCTGAGTTCTTTTCTAATCGATCCGAAACAATGAACGAAGGGTGTAAGAACGGCACTCGCACAAACCGAAACGTTTTATGGTTCAATTAGCACTGTTACTTATTTAAACACCATACGCCGCGAAAGTCGACTTTACGGTTATGTTCGCATAAAGCGCGGCTTCCGATAATGATCTCCCGTTGATCAACATGCAAAATCCTAACCCTAAGCGTACGCATTTCAAAGGCGAATACCCCATTATTAATTGGACTCATGTGATAATTACATCGAGCGCTGAATTGGCGATAGGTGTCTCGTTTGCAGTGTTTGCACAGAGAAATCGAATACGCGCTCCTTGTACGTTATGTGTACTCGCCATATTATTGGAAGCCCCCGCGCTTCCGGACTACACGGTTCCAATTTCCATGCCAGCCGCGCACTCGTCAATGAACGCCCAAAAGTGACGGGCAGGTGTGGGACGGGTAGTATCCGATAACGGTATATCTTCAACATAACATCGATCGATCTTTCTATCGATCGTGCGTACCGATCGCAATTATCCTACGACCGGCCGGCCGGTCGGCCGAACCCTTCAAATGCGTAATTAGCCGGGAACAAGGTTACAATGACGCAACTTAAGCGAGTCTGTGATTATTCAGTGGGATTAGTCTTGACAATTCAGTCTCTTGACGATTCAAACAACGACCCGGACATTCATGTCGTTTGCTCACTTTTTTTTTTCTCATTGTACAATTCGCGCGCGCATTATATTATTAATAATATAATGCGCCATTTAATGCGCGCGCCATTTAAGAAGTCAGAAAAATTTCTTTAAAGTAACTCGCAGTTGTATATAAAGTTTTGCTCGCGAGGAACTTTCACGTACAATGACATACATATGACCCTATAGCCGGTGACTAACACATTTTTGCCTATAAATAGTCTGGGTTAATATGAGAAGGAGTCTAGAACCTTGGTCAGACCGGCCCAGTGGTCTCGCGGCCTGAGTGCAAGGGCTGCGAACCTGGAGGTCCCGAGTTCAAATCCGCTCACCACCTAAGGATTTTTTCCGGGCCGGTCCCTTTCAACCGAGTTTATCGGTTGATTGGCGAACTTTAATCGGGCCTCCAAAAATTAATTCGGGTGTAATCCCGAGAGAGAGAGAGAGAGAGAGGGAGAGAGAGAGAGGGAGAGAGGAAGAGAGAGAGGGAGAGGGAGAGAGAGAGAGAGAGAGAGAGAGAGTACAGAACAATATATTGTTTACCATATTCAAAGTCTGCAAACTGAAAAGAATTGTAAAATTCTGTACGGAATGATAGTATACTTAAAGTACGATAAAGATAGAAAATATCTTCGATAACACATTTTTCCGCGATTTACTTGCTGATAAAAGCAATGATAAACAACGTATAACACGATCTCTTTCATCAGTTGTTAATTTCACATACGTCAAGACACACCAAGCATGAACAGACAAGGCTTCCTTTCTGTAATCATCGGTTTAGTATTAATGGCATCTGCTATTTTTCCTGCAGGTATGGGATTTAAATATTTTTTAAATAATCTGTAACATATTGTTTACCATTGTTTTTATAAAACCAGAATGTCAAAATACGAACCCGACCACGGAAGAATGGACCACTTCATGGTCGCCGTCGACTGCGGCCCCGACCACGGAAGAATGGACCACTTCATGGTCGCCGCCGACTGCGAGCCCGACCACGGAAGAATGGACCACTTCATCGTCGCCGTCGACTGCGGCCCCGACCACGGAAGAATGGACCACTTCATCGTCGCCGTCGACTGTGACCCCGACCACGGAAGAATCGACCACTTCATCGTCGCCGCCGACTCCGACCCCGACCACGGAAGGATCGACTACTTCATCGTCGACTACGTTATCATCCACTGAAAAATTGACCGATCAGACGACGTCCACAAAAAAACCGACCACGCCTTCAGATAAGAGTGCTAATAAAATGATACATAATATAATCACGATAAACAACTGTGTGCAATAACGCAACTTGATATATAATCCCGATCTAATAGTCACTTTTATTTTGCAGTACTTTGTTTTGCAAATAAAACAATTAGGAAATATTATACGGTTTATTTTAAAAGACAAAAAAGATTTTCTCTAAATTGTAATGTAATAAATTTTTTGACGCAAAACATTTAATGTTCTTTTACTTCTCGTGAATAAGCGAAAATAACGTGAAGATAAGTAAGCCCTGTTGTTGCGCTCGGGATCGCCACGGAGGAACGTCAGGCGTATACTGGCCAAATTCAGGGCTAACAAGATCTTGTCTCACCTCTCTCTCTCTCTCTCTCTCTCTCTCTCTCTCGAGCAGAAGGGTTCTATCTATTCCCTTTGTGCGATCTCTTCGATCTTACGCTATATCGGCTCTCCCACTATTTTCTCACAAGCTTCACCGGCTCCGTCTTTTACTTCATTATGTAAGATTCTGTATGTATGAAAGATGCGAGAACGAATCTGCAATACCGACGTAGCCGAAATCGGAGCAGGATTCGAACAGGTGTTACTATATAGATAGATATTAAATATTTGTAAGTAGGATAATAAAGTGAGGGCGTGCATGACGAAAAATGATAATACAGTGGAAAGAGAAAAGACTGAGAACAGACAGACGTGATCGGACAGTGTTACAGTAAAGACAGAGGAAAAGCTGAAAAAGAGAGTGATAAATCACGAAAGGGTAATCGAGGCGTGCGTGCTTTGATTTATCCGGGTAAAATCTGTTGAAGTAGCGGGTTGCGCCGCAAAGCAAATTTCGTATAATAAACCAGTGTGTGAAAAAAAAGCAACCATCCTGACTGAGATTCTTACAATTACGTTTTATTTCCAGCCGGTTCCGTCCAGCCGCGTTATTCGGTTTTAGTCTTGTTTCAGTCCTTCGCAACACTCCGAACTCGCTTTCCACAGTATTTCTTCTTTTTTTTCTCACGTTGTCTTTTAATCTTTCATGCTGAAAGTTTGCTGGTATATTTATGACGTGGCTTTTTAAAGTCAGATGTTACGAAAAAAAAAACATTCTCTTTATGAATATAATTATTATAATTGCTGTGCTACTGTTAGAAAAATGTTGAATATATATTATTTTTCCAATAAAATAATTTCCTTATTTCTTAACATTACATAAAGACAGGAATGATATTCCAAATTTAAATTAGTTTAATCAGAATTAATCGGAACCATAGAATGTTTGGCACTAATTGTACGTAGTGTGTGTTTTGTTTGTCAAAACGTTTCGACTTTAATTTAAGTCCTTTTCAATGTCACATATAGTCAATTATAAATTAAAGTAGAGAGATTGAAAAAACGAATTCTTAACGTAGTTGTTGTTACGACTATGTTTGTCGTATTGAAATGATGATCATATTTCTTTTTTATCCCGCTCAAGTCATTTTCTCTTTGTTATTTTTTATTAGAGTAATCATTCCAGAAAGTTTACCAGTGTAATGCAGAGAGTTTACCAGTTAAACACGTAACTTAATCATCCGAGCAATTGATTGTCAGCAGTCCGCGCAAACAATATATCGCAGGTATGTTTACTTTTGCACAAACCGCGATCGAGTGAAAGTAGCGAGGTCTGTGGGATATATACATGTGCAATCTCGTTTTGCGAGCTTAATACTTAAGAAGCAGATAAGATCTTGTCGACCCTGAACTTGGCCGTCACTGTGCCATTCCGTGCGCGTAATCTCGTGATGGCACGTCACGCTTCGCAATATTTTTCTTGCAGGATCTTCTGTTAATCGTAAAGCAAAAGACTTGTTTTCCTCGATAAAGTGCGCTGTTTTCAGTAGAGTCTGACCAGCTGGTACGAGAAATTTTAAGGAATACACAGTCACACAAAAAAAAAGTTCTGGCCTGGGGGTCAGACCATGTTTACTATATGTTTTTGAGGTCGCTGAATCCGAATCCGAAGTCCATTTAACCCTATCACATCAGGTTTTGGACATAACCTCAAAAAACCTATAATTCAAGCTCAATTAGCCAGTTATACCAAATATATTAAACCAATTAACTCTATAACCCCTTAATTCTTAAGCCCCATAACCCCTTAACCTTAAATTCCAATAACATTATAACTCTCATGGCCCAGCATTTCTACAAGACTCATCTCGCACAAGATCAGTCATTTTCGACTTGGAGACCAGTGTATTGAACTATTTTGTATCATCCCAACAAA